CAGAATAGCTATCCCTGCTTTTTTCTGGGTACCTGTCACATGGAGTATTGTTTTCCATCCTTTGACTTTCCATCTATGAATTTCCTTTTGAGTTAAATGTGTTTCTTGTATGCAGCATATTGTTGGATTCTGTTTCTTGATCCAATCTGCCAGTCTACTTTTGGTTGATGAATTGAGTCCATTATGTTGACAGTTATAACTGATATGTATTGGCTTATCTTTGTCATGTTGTTTTCCTGCTGTTGGTTCCTCTCATTTCCCTCTATTTAATTGCTTGCTCTGCTTGATGTTTCCTTTCTGTTGTTGTTCTTAAAGTTGTGGTCTTTTTTTAACTCTTTCTAGAATATCTTTCAGTACTCTTTGTAAGGTTGGTTTGGCGCTCATGAAGTTCTTTAGTTGATCTTTATTGTGAAAACATTTTATTTTTCCATTAAATTTGAAGTATAGTTTTGCAGGGTGCATCAATCTGGGTTGGAAGTTGTTTTCTTTCAGTACCTGAAATACTTCATTCCAAGCTCTTCTTGCCTTGATGGTTTCTGTTGAGAAATCTGCCATGCTTCTGATGGGCTTTCTTTTATAGATGATCTGTTTCTTTTCTCTAACAGCTTTTAATATTCTATACTTTTGTTGAATTTCTGGGATCTTGATTACTATATGTCTGGGTGTTTATGGCTAATTGGAGTTCTATATGCCTCACTTACCTGAATCTCCAGTTTTTTTTCCATGCTTGGGAAATTATCTGCTATTACTTCCACAAATAGTCTTTTTATGTCATTTGTGCTGACACCTGCTGTTTCATTTATACCTATTAATCTTACATTGTTTTTCTTTGCTTCATCTTGCAGCTGTTGAATTGTTATTTCTTGGTTTTTGTTATTTTTAAGAGATCCTTCTTTTCACGGTCATTCATAGGAACGCTATGTTCAAGGTCTGAAAGTCTATCTTCAGCCTCGTTTGAGTGGTTTTGCCAGCTTTCTATGGAATTTTTAATTTCCTGCATATCTATTTGAATCTGTATCATGCATTCCAGTTCTTCCCTATACTGTTCATTCAAGGTTTCCAACAATTTACTCTGCTCCTCTATTTTTTTTTATTTCTTTTTTAGATATGCTAAGCAATTCTTTCATTATTATTGTGATTTCTTGTTTTTACCTCAGATATTATTTCTGATCTGATGTCTTCTATGGCCTAATGGAATTGTGTCTTTACTTCAGCTGCTGTCATTTCAGAAATTTCAGGTGTATGACCTTCAAGCTCATCTGTGTCTATATCTCCTGGACTTGTTCTCTGTGGAGTAGAGGTCTGAGATTGTATTTTGCTTCTTCATTTTGTCATTTTCAGAGATGTCAAGGTTCCCTGGAGCTCAACCTCAGTCCCTGGATGATGTCGTAGTAGGGGGGCAAGGACCCAAAGGTCCCCAGTGCTCAATGTGAATCCATGGATGGTGTGTGGCAGAGTGGGCAGGGTGAGGGCAGGGTGTGATTCCCAGTGTTCCCACAGCTGTCTGTGGCTTAGCTTGGTACCCACTCAGGGTTTCCCAAAGCTGTCTGGGTTACAGCCCTATTTCCACTGGGGTGTAGTATGGGTGGGTCATGGTCACCGAGTCTCCATACACTGCCACCACCCCGCCTGCTTCCCACACCAGTGGGGGGAGGGTAAGTGCACAGTCACTGAGGCCCCTGGAGCTGTCTGTGTTTCAGCATAGCTCCCTTGAGGGTATGGGGTAGGGGCAGAGGAACACCCAAGGCCCTTGAGGTTATCAGGAGCTCCCCTTGGCTCCCAAGCTCGTGTGTGGGGGCAGAAAATTATTGTAAATTACTATATAAAGAAGATCAATTTTTGTCAAATTAATTTTAAAATTTTCTGTCATTTAATAACTAAGTATGTTATAGTATCAAAAATAGTGATATTTTGTTTTAGTAACCTAATATTAAAATTTTATCTCTTCTCAAGTTCTTGTATAGTATTTTAAAATTATCTTAATTATCAACTTAGCAACAAATATAAATCAATGTTAATGATGTGAATTTCTTTAAGAATTTTATGAACTTAGAGGGTTTATCAACTGTCAGTTTAAAATACTTAATTCAATGAGAAAAGAGGATTTGATATAAAGAAGTTTGAAGTCATATCTTTAATCACATATTTCAAGTGCATAAAACTGTTAGTGTATTGATAATTGGTTAAATATCCCTTTATTTATTATTCAAAACTTTACTGATATAAAGGGATAGGAAAAAACATTTATTATTATTATCCCATTATTCTTTTCCTCCAGTTTCCACATTTATTTTTATATTGTGTCATATATATTTATGTGCTTCCCTAATTCTTCCTCAGAATGAGGCAAAATTCATTAGTGTTTATATTGAAATAAATTTATTTGCCATTTTAATTGTCCATAGATTTATAAATATTTATAGGGTACCATGTGATGTTTTCATATGGCATATATGTCTCCTCAATTTCTTTGTGATGAAAACATGTTAATGTAGGAAGCTTATATTAAAATTTTAGAAAAACTGGTATAAATAAAGTTGTGTTATGTGGCATGACTTTTCTTTATTATTTTTTATTTGAGCCTTGTTAAACCAATATAAAAAGTAAGAAAATGATTGTTTTAATATTTTTCAGCTGCTTATAGGTTATGAAAATGGTACTGTAGTATTCTGGGACTTGAAATCTAAGAGAGCAGAACTGAGAGTTTATTATGATGAGGTAAGTGACTTCTAAAATGATTGAAAAGAGTTTTATCACTTTGTGTCATTTTTCTCTTGTACGGTTTGTACTTTACCAGTATATTTGTCATTGGGAAACTAGTACTTGGTTCTGACCCAGTCACTCTTTTTCTCATTTGTTGTTCATGTAAGTTTCATCTTTGGAATATTTTCCTGAGTGAGAATTCTGCCTTGACTGCCAATTTTTGTTTTGTTTTTGCATTTTATCTACTTTGAGTCCTGTCATTTCTGCAGTATCCTATATCCCTAATTCTGTCTCAAGTCCTTTTCTTTCCTCTAAGTTCCTTCCTTATGTCTGGGTTTATTGTCCTTAAAGTCTTAAGAAACTCTATTTACACTTTCCTTGGAAAATTTATTTTCTATGGCAAAAAGGTTGAGTCAGGTTGAAATGCCATATTTTGTAATACTTAGCTTCTCAGATTAAAGCAAGATTTTATAAATAGGAATACCCAATAAGTAACTGTAAGATCTTGAAGTTTTATTATCAATAAGTAAGACCTGATTAGGTTTTCACTTAGGAGGAGCAGCAAACTCCCATTTTTTAAGAAATAGTCTCCTGGTTTACACTTACAGTTCAGAGACTTATTCCAGGCAATTAATAATTTCCCTTTTCAGAAGTTACTGTGAAGACAGTGAAGCAAAGGAAAATGATGAAAAGGGGAAATATTTCCTGTAGTTGTGGAAATAAAAGTGATTATCTATATGAAACTTGAAAAATCATGGAGGTAGAGAATGGTTGAGTGATGAGTAACACCCAGTCTCATGTGAGGGTGATGCTAAATAATTTAAGACACCTCTAAAATAAATGGAAAAAGATCCCTTGCATACACATATACACATACATACTCATACTCTTTCTTTTGTCTCACTTCCTCATTTTATCACTGGAAAAAAATTGTCCCCAGATGAACCTGTTTTTGCCCTGGAATACTTTGCATGTTTTTTCCTATCCCTTTATATCAGCTAAAGTTTTGAAGTTTAGGTGCTTAAAAATATAGGGAGTTCATAAACTCCACAATTGAATTATTAGTGATGAGCTCATATTAAGATTTTATGTCATATGTAAGATAGTACATAGTGAAACACCCAGAAGTAAATGATATATAACATGTGGGTAATTTGGTCATAAGTATATTCTTCATATGAATTTTTAGGGCATCTGGAATCCTGAGGAAAGAAGGTACTTTGAAGCTAAGCTAGCATTTTATTTTTGTTAAATACACAAAAATAAAGATAAGTGTGGTTACTGCTCCCTTTCTCAGAAGTAGAAACTAAACGAAAGTCCAAATACCACCTGAATATTTATCGAAGTGGAATTAAACAAGGCCAAAACAAAATCTGCAGAAAAATGCTGAATTACCAAGTTTTCCTATGGCTTAAAAAGTATATAAGTTTTCTGATCTTATTTAATGATTAAAAGTAATTTTATAGTGAAATTTTAAAATAAGGGTTAATAACAGCCTATGTTAGTCAGTAGAGTACAACAATTCACCCAATTTATACCTAGGAATCATTTTAAAAATATTTACTTATATGCATATAAGTCTATAATCTATTTGACTACTTTAATGAATAATTTTATGTCCTGTTGTTTTAATATTTGATAGCCAGAATCTTCATTTTGTTGTAAAAACTTTTAAAGTTTCTTCAGTACTTTGCCTCACCTATCTAGAAATCATCTGTAATTATTATCTAAAATGGCTTCTCATAATAAGTCAGTGCTCTCCTCAATATTACCTACAGTGACCCTCTCCTTGGTCTTTAAATTCCTCATTAAACCTGTAGTTTTCGCTCAGCCTCTTAAAATTGCGTCTTTGCTTCTCTTTCTGTTTCATTTATCATGCCTTTCTTCTCTATCACTGAATTTCTTTTTAGCTTTCCTTTATATTGTAGATCCTCAAGCTGAATTCAGTGATGTATGCCTATATCTCCAGCTGCCCAAGAGGCTGGGGTGGGAGGATTGTTTGAGTTTAGGAGAAGGAGTCCAGCTTGGAAACTCTTGTGAGACTATTTCAAAAACAAGTAAATAAAAATTACATATACTCTTCAGGTTATTATGCCTCCATTCTTTTTTCTTCTCTCCTCCAATTTGCATTTATATTTGTATCCTCTGCCATAATTTCAAATGTTACCTTTATGCTTACAAATTTAACATCTGTACATCTCTAGCATTTTTATTTCCTGAGAGATCTCAGTATAAATGTCTAACAATCTATTCTATAAATTTGGATAAATGTCACCTTAGTACTGAATTTATTTTTTTTTAGACCTGAACCATCTTCTCTGTTCTCTTTCAGTTTTTAGTTTTCGATCAATTACTTTAGAAACTTAAGAATAATATGTCCTTCTTCATATACTATATGCAATCAGTTTTTCAGTCTTTTTGAATCTGTCTAATGTTGCCTAGATGACTATAAGGGCCTTTTAACTAATTGTCTTTCCTGTGACATCTTACCTGTTCAATGTATCCTTTGCTAATAAGAATATTATTTTAAAGCGCAGATTATGTAATCTCTATCTCAGAATCTTTGAAAGGCTCCCAGTTGTCAACAGAGTTCATATTCATTGATGGGAGATTTAAGTCCTGGTTCTTTTTCCTTTAGTTTAATTTACCTCCTCCTTTTACACACTCCCCACATTTCAGATCTAGTACTCAACTATCTCCTAAACATACCATTTATTTTTTTACCTCCAAACCTTTGCTTCTATTAATTCCTCATCATGAGCTCCCTCTTTGCCTCTTCTTTAGTCAAAATTTTATTAATTCCCTGGACACTATAAAGTAATGGACTCTCTAGTTAGCCCTTTAGTGAATACTTACTGATGGACTGAGATTTTTGTTTTTGAAGTCCAATATTATTTTCAGAAATAACTAGCTATGAAAGGTTACTTTCACTTCAGCTGTTAAATTTTTCTTTCATTATGTGAATCTTTCTTAAATATAATGTGTCACAGAGAAATCTTTCATAGTTTGACATAGGGAAAGCCTTTTAGTTCTTTGAGGAACTGCTATGTTTCCTTTTTCATATCTTACCTAGATATCTGGGTTTCCTTTTTTGTTTTCTTGTGTCTTTTCCATTTTCAAGAACAGGCACAGCCAATGAATTGGCTAAGTACAACTAGTGTTTTAACCTTTCAAACTCTGTTACCTAGTGTAAAACTTTTTATTAACTTAATTGAAGGTTTTAAAATTAATGTATAATGTTTTGTTTTCAGTAAATCTATTAAGAACTTCTTTAAAGAAAAAGATATAATGAAATAAAATATCTATCAAGTGAATTCAAATACTAGCTCCCTTGATATGTACTATTTGACATCCTGATCTCTTTTTTAAATTTTTATTTTAAAGAGAATAATAAAAAAGAACAATAGAAAAAAACAAATAACATAGACAAAAGCAAAACAAACAAAAAACAATAAAAAATGATACAGGGTTTTAGAACAAAATGATAGGAATTAACAATGGCTGTTACATTACATATTGTTATCTTCAGCAAACAACAAGCTGATTCTACATGCTCACTCCTTAATACCACATTATAATTCATTTATTTTAATACTTATTTCGTTTTCTCATAGTATTTATAATTTTCATACCTGTCCTCTCCAGTGAATAGAAATTCAGTGGGATGGGATGAATCTTTAGAGTTGGAAATGCTTTTTCTGCCTCTACTTTTGGTGACAAAGCAGTATAAGAGAACTTTGCATTGATTGAGGTTACCAAGTTAACATAGAGGCAGGGAAAAAGAAATGACATTTCCTATGAACCACATACAGAAGGGCAAAATAAATGAGCAGAAGGTAAGACAGTGAAGAGTATTTTCCTTCTAACTGCCTCTGCTGGAGACTGGCAAAAATTGTTTTCTCTGCATAGTACTGAAGGTCAGGGTAAGAAAAATCACAAGTCTAGGAGCTGGGGATTTAGCTCAGCGGCAAAAGCGCCTGCCTGGCAAGCACAAGGTTGTGAGTTTGGTTCCTGGTACCGGAGAAAAACCAAAAAAAAAAAAGAAAAATCACAAGTCTAGTAAAATTTCATGTTGCTTTTTCTATTAAATCAAATCTTATTTATCTTTGAGGCACAGATTATATCTTACATTATTTACAGTATGTTTAATGATTAATTATCTGTAACTCTAGTAACATTGCTTAGAACTTTTCACACACACATATAAACACTCATACACAAATATGCATGCATGTATGTATATATGTGTGTATTTGTTAAGAGTTCCAAATAATAAATATGGTAAGTATTCATCTATATCAATCTTCCCAGTATTGAATTTCCATTTAGGAAAAGATGTTCTACTTCTTTGTAGAACTTCTTTATCTGTTCTACTTCTTTGTCTACTAGAATTTCTTTCGTTGTACTTAGCACATTACCCAAGTTTTGTTAATTTATTCACTTATAAAGAATACCATGTTTAAATATGTTTATGTGTAACATTTACACTCATTCATTAACAAATATTTCTTGAAGATATACTTTAAGTAACATACCATGCTAACACTGGGAATATATTAAACACAATTACTTTTGAGTCTTACTGAGTTTGAAACTACTGAACATTGATAAACTTGCAAACTTTTTTTGCTTTGGATCAATTTAATTAGCATATGAAGAGGCAATACAATACATGGCTTTGAGACTTGTGACTTTAGCAAATATTTTGACTTCTCTAGGTTTATTTCACTGTATATAAACTGGAGGAAATGATACATATGTATAGGGGTAAGTGAACATATATTTCAAGTCTGGCACATATAGATGGTAGCTATTACTTAAATAAATTTTCAAAATTGGCTGCTTTAAGTAGAAATAGGTTTGTAGCTTGCAAGAAATTATCTTCAATAATTGTGTTTTCATTTCTATGTAAATAAGTTTTTGAACAAGCATCATAGGATACAGGAAGTACATACAATTTCAGTGAACACCTTGTAAATGAATGATATTAGAAAAATTATTTTTCTTTATCTTAGGAGATGAGTTTGATAGGCTTATATAAGTCTGTAGAAGGTTGAAGCCTAAGATAGTTCAGAAAAACGTTTCATGTTACTCATGTAATAATTTTAAGATATTTTTCTTTTGGACTAAAGAATTATGTATCTACTTTCGTTCTCTCTTCAACTTGTTTTTAATTGTTATTTTATTAGGCTATTCATTCAATTGATTGGCATCATGAGGGCAAACAGTTCATGTGCAGCCATTCTGATGGTAGCTTGACTTTATGGAACCTGAAAAGCCCAACTCGCCCTTTTCAGACCACAATTCCACATGGTAAGATGTATGCTTTCAAAAGAAATACTATTCGTACTGTCTTGTTTTCTAGATTCATCCACCTATTTGTATTAGCATTTTATTCTAATAAATTATGATGACTGTAGTTGTAACATAGGTTTTATCTTTTCATCTTCTATATTGAAAAGAGCATTTTAATCCAAAGAAAGGATTTAAATTAGATATGTACACTGAGGAGATCAAAAATTCAGGTGTATCAACAATATCTGTGATTCAAATGACCAAACTATTTCAAATAATGTTAGTGATTATCTGAATTCCATATTTGCCTCATACCATTGGTTATTTGTAAGCTCAGAGAGATCGAAACCTAACAGTTAATGACGTATTCTGCTTTACAGTTTCTGAGCATTTCCTACCATATCACATATCTGTTTTACTCAGATTCCTGTACCCTTAGATACTTCATTAGAAATTCTTCAAAAAGAGGTTGCAATTAAGAAACTTTAAGTAGAGAGGAAACTGCTCAAAAGTAGGGAGCAACTGGGATGAGGGAAAAGACAAAAAAATGGGGGGAAATTATGTATATACAGGATAACTAATATAGTTGCACTATTGATTTCTATAGCTTTATTGAAAGGAACAGTTAAGATTAATTATTTAATCAATCTTACATGTCTTAAAATTTCCTAGAATTTTTATAGATTTGCCTATTTCTAACTTTATTCTGCCCATCTTTGCTTGATGTATTTTGAGGTTTTGTTACTGGATATCTATTAGGTTTCTTATATGGAGCATATAGTTGACTGTATCTTTTTTATTTAAAAGAGAATAATACTAAAGAAGAAAAGACTAGTAGCAAAATACCAACAACATGGACAAAATCAAAACAAAGCAAAAACAATAAAAATGATACAGGGTTTTAGAAGAAAATGATAGGAATTAGCAGTGGTTGTTATATTACATATTGTTATCTTCAACAAAGTTGCTCAGATTACCAGATATAAGAATGCAAGATTCATCAAACTATTACAGAGAACGAAAAATAAATACAAAAAAACCATTAGAAATGATACCGAGTTTTGCTAAATGAGATGGTAGGAATTCGTCAATGGTTGTTATATAGCATATTGTTGTCTTCAAATTAGTTGTTCAGATTAACAGATATAAGCATGCAATATTGGTCAAAAAATTAAGCATAATTGTTCAGATATAAGCATGCAATATTGGTCAAAAAATTAAGCATAATTGTTCCTTTCAATAAGCCATTAGACATCAGCAGTACAGTTATCCCAGATATATATATTCCCTTCCTTCCTTTTTTCTCCTTTCCCTCATCCCAGTTGTTCCTTTCTTTTAATCCAGTCTTAGTGTTAGAATGTTTAGTTCATTAATGTTAATTAATGTTAAGTGCAATTACTGACAATATTGTATGTAGGCTTACTGTTTTCTTACTTATTTTCTATTGGTTATATCATAATATTGTTTTTCTTTTTAATTAATTAATTTCTTTCTATATTCTTTTACATTATTTGAATAATTTTAATAAAACAAATGCTGGCAGGGCTGTGGGGAAAAAGAAACACTTCTCCACTGTTGGTGGGAATGTAGTCTGCTACAACCACTGTGGAAATCAGTGTGGAGACTCCCCAAAAAACTAGGATTAGAGGTCCCATTTGACCCAGTTATTCCCCTTTCTAGGAATTTTTCCAGAAGAATTAAAAACATCATATGATAGCAATATATGTGCACCCATGTTTACAGCAGCACAATTTGTAATAGCTAAATCTTGGATACAACCCAAATGCCCAATACAATTGTATTAGTGCTTTTTTTTTATTTTTCATGTCCATTAATATTTGTTTTATATAGTTGGGTACATTGGTATTTGTTGCATATGTATTTAAAATTGTTATCTCTTGCTCTTGGATTTTACCCTTTGCACAGATATAATGACCTTCTTTGTCTCTCTTAATCAGTTTTAACTTGAAATCCACTTTGTCTGCAAATAGAATACCTACCCCTGCTTTTTTCTGAGTTCCTGTGACATGGAGTATTGTTTTCTATCCGTTGACTTTTAGTATATCAATTTCTTTTTGAATTAAATGTGTTTATTGGACGCAGTACACTGTTGCATCTTGCTTCTTGATCTACTTTTCCAATCTGTGTCTTTTGATTGGTGAATTGAGACTATTAACATTGATGGGTAGAACTGATATGTATTAACTTATCTTTGTCACGTTATTGCCTCTCTCCTGCTCCCCTTTTGTTTGCCTTATGTGGTGGATTCATTCTGTTGGGGTTCGTGGAGTTGTGGTCCTTGTTGTCTCTAAAATGTCCTTCAGAATATTTTGAAGTGCTGGTGTAGAGTTCATAAATTTCTTCATGTGTTCTTTTTCATGGAACTGTATTATATCTTCATTAATTTTGAAAGGTACTTTTGCAGAGTACATCAGTCAGGGTTGGAGGTTTATTTCTGTTAGGGCTTGTACTACTTCACTCCAAGCTCTCCTTGACCTGAGGGTTGAGAAGTGAGCTTGATTCTGACAGACTTTCCTTAATAGGTGATTTGTTTCTTTTCTTTAACACCTTTTAATTTTCTATGCTTGTGTTGAATTTCTGGGAACTTGACTGTGATATGCATTGCTGTAGATTTTTTCTCATCATGGCTAATTGGAGTTCTACATGCACACTTACTGTATGTCAAAATTTTTTGTATTTGCATACACAAATTGTATTTTTGTTGCAATTTATATCTATGTTTTTATTTAAAATATTAAAGAAGGAAAACATATTAACAAACAGACATCTGTTTACAAAATAGCATAAAAACAATACAAACAAAACAGAGTTACAGACAAAGTTAGGAAATTAACAATGGTTGTATTACTTA